ATCCATCTGCTGTTGTTGCCTCTTTCGGTGGCAAAAACGAAGGAGAAGAAGATGGTATGGGACCACTTGACAAGAACTTTTCTCGAAGAATCGATATAGTCTCGCGGATCTTAGCCCACCCTTGGTGCTGCTTCCCTCTGAAAAGAAGTTTGTAAGATACAAACTAGATTGGGCAACGGTACATTCATCTTACCGTGCATGTTCGTGATTCTCCACGTTAGCCTTGGGGTCGTTCTCATTGAGTGTTACGAGTACACCGCAGACATCACAAACGAATTCAGTTCGAGTCATCATCATATACTTCTCACCACTAAGCTCGCGGATCTTCGAGTTCAGCGGCTCAGCCTGAACGACGATTTGATAGAGGAATGGTAGAGAGACAATAGCAGAATAAAAACCACCATGACCAGCGCCGACACTAAAAAGGCCAGTAGAAGAACAAAATGAAGCAACCCACTTGTCCCATCTTTTTCTCAGAATCCGCGATTCGCCCTTTCTCGGCGAGCTCCTCGGCCTCCTTCACTATACCATGTATACGACCCTGAGGTAATAAATTCAAACAAGTTTCGGCATACCACTCCCTTGCCAACTTACCTTTAATTCGTCTATTTGCTCCTTATTCTGTGGTGGTATCTCTATATCCGGTATCTCGGCGCTGACTCGAGCCTTACCTACAACAGCACAACGTAGAACCTCACAGAAATAATTTCTGAAAAATTCGAGCAGGGATGAATTTCTGAGAAATTCATTCCTGCTCGAATTTTTCATTAGCCAAATATTTCTAAACGACCAAAGTTCCGTCAGGACCACATAATCGTTTTTCACTGACTGAATCCCCCCTTCTACTACCTCTCCGAATCTTATGTGCTAACTGCGTCTCCAAGTACTCCAAGAAGCTCAGTAACTCGCGAGAGTATCTACACTCGAGACGGACGATGTATCCGGAGATTTTTCCCCAGACCTTAAAGCTCCCAGAAAATCTCGTTCCTACTTGTCGAGCACTGCCCTCTTTTCCGCACAATCCTCCCATTTCTCAAAGCGCGACTTGGTGTATTCGCAATGTTCCTTATCGCACACTCCCATATCAGCTTTCGTGTTAACGAAGAGATCATGAGGACTGACCGAAGACGCCGAACCTCAAGCATTCCCCAGAAGATCAAAAATTAATCACTGGGACGCAGAAATTCACACGTAAAACGTAGGACATAACGACCCGAAATCACTACCAATACTCACTAAAGTACACAAACCATCAAAACCTCATCGAGCAAAGCTCGACAATCAAAGCGCTCGCAAATTTATTCTCAAGATGCGTCAAAGACTAAGGCGTAAGGCTTCCCTATTATAGTACCAGAAATCCACTAGAAAGTAATGACAGTATCGTGTTTGGGTCATCCAGTTGATCTTCTTCTCCTCGCTTTTAACTTTCTCCGCTGCAGAGACGTTTCTATCGCGGCCCATGAGCTGGTCGAGCAAGGCTCTGGCCTCCTCCATATCAGTAACAGTAGAGTTGAGGAATATACGTACAACTAACGGGAACGACGAAATGATGAAGTGCTAACGCGACAAGTAGTGAGTGAGAGAACTGAGATTGAATCGAAACAGAATTATAACGAATTTGAGAAAAAGCAGAGGCCATGTGGCTCCAGGCAGCTGTGATGAGTTCAATAGCACGCATATACAACATGGACCCAATGCTAACCTAATTTGTATCTAGCATGGTCAACCTCAAGATACTCTATATGCTGAAACAAATTAGAGTGAGACAGTACTGATGAGCACAGAGGACAGACACCCAATTAATCTCATCACAATAACAAATCGACACCGGCGAGTCTCCCTCAAGCGCGATGTCAAAGAATTATGGTATCCGATCGTATGCGCCCCTCCTAGAAAGGCTTTGAATTCTCTCCCCAGGTTGCGACTCCATTCCATCCACTGCAGAGAGGACCCGAAGCGACCTGCGTGGCTCAGCCGGTGGTGAATGAGCTGAACAACAACAACAACAACAACAACAACACTAGCATGCGCAAAGATGACGGACATCCAACAACTAGGATGAGTCATTCTCAACGACAGTACGCAAGAATTGTTGGACTATGTATAATACTATACATATAATACTATATATATAAATATATACCGGAGTACTATCACTGGAGTACATAATAGAAACGACTGAGGGATGTAGCAGAATTCGTGTTGACGGCAAAGACCCAACAAATGGCCGTACCGCGACGGAGCTTAACAAGAAGAAGAAGATGACGTATATCAACTCACCCCAGTTCCCAACGAAGGGATTCCCTCTGTCCAGCGATCGTTGCCGCAGTTCGGCCGCTATCCCGTCGAGCAACACCGGGTGCCATGCGCTGACCCGAGACTCTCGTGACTGTCACTAACACGATGAGGGAATGCTCATGTGCAGCGGAGGGACTCACCAGTCGACCTGCGCACCCTATAGATTCTGCGCATGCGTGCTGAGGATACACATCAGGCTTCACCCGTCGATGTCTAGCTGGTGCCTGAATGACATAACCAATACGGGATTAACAACGTCAGCTTTCTTCCTCACTGTAGACCTGCTATTTCGACGCTGGAGAATTAACGATTGAAACGACACTGGAGAAACATGCTCCGACTTTCCCCGACTCGCGGTAAGCGATGACCTGTCAATTTGACCAACTGTAGGCGAATACACCCTTGCCGTAGTATTCACCTCGGCCTGCCGTTAAGCGGATTCTCTCGAAAACTGCCCATACTAACACTGTGATCTCCACGTCTACAAAATACGCATGCGCAAAATCTTGCGAGTGCGATGGGACTTACCGGCCTCCTCCACCATTCGATGCTGCAAACAGTTCGCCGCTGGATGTGAGCAATATGGAATCCTACATAGAGAAAACAACAAGGTGGAAATTCCCACACAGGAAGGGGGAATCAACCCCGAACTCACCGGTGTTGTCGATAACCGCTGCAGTCGAGCACTGTGACTTCCCCCTCCAGAGCTGGCCATGTTATTCTGCTGTAGAGAAAAGTAAAACTCGCAGTATCTGTAGCAGAAAAATGCCGAGGCTGGGAATCGAACCGGGGACCTCTTCTACTCAGATGACTGAATATTCACATTCCACTGTAAAATATCCGCTAGCGCGAAAGCCTCCAGCTTCCTGAGCCTATATAGAGGGGGACCACCACCGTAGGCGCCGAGTTGGATCAGACCACATCTGGAGGGACGGTCAGCGTCGCGCGCCACGAAATTAACACTTACTTGCTGAGGTAAATGAAGCAGTCTTGCAAGTTCGAGAGAAAGAGACAATAGTCTTCCCATACCTGAGACCATGGGGTGACGTGAAATAAACCACCATGGGAATCGAACCCACGACCTTCCGATAGGAGACCAAGCACCTTACCTTACAGGCCAAAAAGACACTTATAGCAACAATAATTCGCCAGTTCCAAGGGCGCATGCATACGTTTTCAGCGAATCGACAGGCATACACCGTGGCGATCACTATCAGCTCATTGCAGCATGAGAAATATCTAAGAACAATAAACAATAACCAGAATATTTTGCGATGGTCAATACCAAAACTTTGAGTCTCAAGCGCGACATACCACGGAACAAGACACTGAGTGATTCTATCGTTGGATGTACATTATCTTATCCAAGCACATTGTGACACTCAGACTCAACATAACTTCATGCCGCATATATTCCAATGAAAACACCAAATCAAATGCTGACGTTAGTAATGAGAGGCGCTAATGAGTTTCGAAACCCCTTCCCCCTACTACTACTACTACCTCACACACTCCCTAAGATAGCCTTGAATTTCATGTAGAGACACTGGGAGTGGCGGACCCGACAGCAACTTGCGTTTCCGCTCCAGTTCTGACCGAGTCGCCACCATCGGGTTCAAACACTCGCAACACGCATGTATAGAAAATGCAGGTACCGAGCTGTACCTGGAATAGAAACAATCAATAAGCGTAATGCTCAATACCACCCGATAAAATTCCACACACTAGAGTGGGGAATTAGTAATTTCCAACCAATTTTTCCTGCAAAAAAAGCGACAAATTTCTCAAGTTTTCGTGGAAAAAAGTCTCAATCTGAGCGAGTACTACAACTCCTGATCCAGTACGAGACACTTCTGGCCGCATCTCACATGGTCAACACAGCGGCGTGGGCAAGCACGCAAATGCCGCAGTAGGAGGACCTTAGAATATACCAAGTGTATGGAGAGTAACGACTACTTGCTACTACCGCTGACTGACGTAAAATCATTGACTTTCGACATCGTCCAATCGCGCGTAGCTCTGGGGGTAGAGACCGGTGATCTAGGGATGTCCTGAAAACGTAACGATATGAAGACAATTAGGGAAAATGCATGACGCTCGTAATTCAGCAATATTCATGGCGATCCACCAGGAAGCGTTCATATACCCGATCAGTGTTAGAATGTACGCCCGTTTTCCTCAGCTCAGCCCGGAAGTTCCAAAAGCGAAATTATACGAATTCGGTTGAAAGTATACAGAAACCAATGAGAATTTCCTAAATGCATATTTTGACCATATGACCTAAATGACCATATGCATATTTTTTCACACAGGATCAGCACAGTATATAAATACATTTTTGTCGAGTGGATGCTCATCATCAGATACTTAGCGGAGCGGAGCTTATACTTGGGCGAAATAAACTCTTGGTTCCCTCTACAAATCATAAGTATTACTATAACGATATAACAGTGGAGTTTCACTCGTGATATCAAAAAAAAACACTGGTGAAAATTATATTTCACGACTACTGCATGGTCAGAATATCGTGTTCTCCACAGAGTATAACGCCACTTCACGTAAAACGGGTGAAACTCCAGCGATATGAATGACTACCGCGTAGCGCGATATTTGCGCTTTGCAGTAGTCGTGAAATAGATTTCTCGCCAGAATTTTCATACTACGGGTGAAACTCTAATATTTTTGAAGGGCTTACAACGATGTCCTATATTTATATCAGCACATATCCATAATAAATTATAATAGTATGTTAAAATTTTAATATCATTCTGCGTATCGAATGTTAGAAAATTAACATCCCCTTATGAATATGTTTATATATGGATAAATATTCACGGACCACCCAGGGCGTATGTGCATAGAAATAAACAATAATTTCCTCGAGATTTTTTGCGACTAAGATCAACATGCGTTAATGATTGTGCATAATCTCGCGTATTCGATTAGATAAATCATCCTTAGACTACCGCCGTCAACTCTTCCAAACTATCTCATATCAGTAGCAGACGCATACTAAGGTAGTGTGCGCAGTTATTTCTACCATATTTTCAAGCGTAGATTAATGAGAAATTACCTATTATTGCGGTTACAGTTGTATTAGAGGTGGACCACGCGTGAAACGTAATGGCCCTGTGCATGTTATTAGTGAAAGTAGTGTGAGTAGCTCACACTCTAATGGTTAAAGATTTCATATCACATCCATAAGGCAGAGGATCGATCCCTGCTATAGGCATATATGAACTCATATAAGTGTTCCGAATGAATGAGAAAACTATCATTATGTGATTAGTGGCAAATACAACAACATATTTTTGAACGTTTTACCCAAGCCTTGAATATCCAAGAAAGTGAGTTACTCTACAAATGTAATACTGCAAGAAATTATATGCAACCGTCACGGCTTCAATTTATTCCCCTCATACTACCCTTGACGATATACTCCAACATCAGGCACGTCATGCTTTTCGTCATAGTAGGGTCGATTCAGAATTGAAATGTCGCCGCCCATAGCGGGACTAACTCAACTATTTACGAACTTCGAGATGGACCACGCAGATCTCCGCTGAGCTCCACGTCCCAACACCCAGGACCACTGTTAAGAGCACGATATGACTTTGACGCAGACCTCAACCTCGAGAGGGAATTTTGTGGCGCGTGACGGGGTCTTCGTTGAGTAAATTCAAGATAACTCAAGACTAGTAAGAATATATACTCACGTTGGGTTTATAAAGGATGCAGTGTACTTAGTTACTACCACATATGGTGGCCTACGATTCAACAGCAGATCCAAAAATATACAGGAAATGTCATGAAATTGGAAATTCTGGATAATTTTCTGCTGTGTTTTTAGGCGTGTGCGCAAACGAAAATCTGAGAAGCCTTACTAATACGGTATTGTTCACGGCGTGTTCGCCTTGTTGACAGGTTCCTCTGTGGATAGTGGTAGGTGGAAGAGCATCATACACCTCAACAACCTTGCTGATACAACTCCAGATGTAGCTGACATGATGTAATGGGCAAATAGTGAGTGCTCATACCAAAACATGCTGGCATCTCTGCAATCCTGCCATATCTCCACGCATTCACAGAGTGACATTGTTACGGTATGATGATATTAGGCTCGTCGTAGCAAAAGAGGATCATAAGGCGACGAAGATGTAGCCACAGTGTAGTCCTCTGAATGTTGTGCGTTTTGGGATTATTTCACCGACGATTATATGCACGATGTCGCTGATAACGATACGACTATGGTTTTGGCTCTTTTACTCCATGACTAATAGAGATGGTGAATTGGAGATTTTACATCACATCGAATTTCGTACGGTTGACTGACGCGATGAAGAAGTTCAGAGTCAAAACAATATAGGCTATAGATAGACGATAATAGTACGTTATATAACATCCCAATGGAGTTTCACCCGTGATATGAAAAACACCATCGAAAAAGTAATATTTCACAAATCACTGCGTACCGCTAATATTCATAGATGATTCCGTCACTTTACGTACAACGGGTGAAACTCCAAAATAAGCGTTAGATTGTAGGTCATCGAGCCCAGGTGCGTCACAGTATGGGAAATGATGAAGTATTATCCAAATAGAAAGGTCTATCGAAATTATCAACAACGTAGAGTATTATCGTAGTTGCTTCGTCGTGAAAAGGTATTTGATTCTCTCAAAGTTGTAACCCTTATTGTCCATTACCGACTCATTAGTCGTATTGGGAGAGTCGTGGAGATCATCGTTCGACACAACCATATGGGCAAAACCAAATCTTATTAATCTTACTTAGTTGATCATCATGCTGTTACTAGATAGTTTTAAGTATGTTTTAAAATTAACTGCTGAAAGCTTCCCCAACCTCATTTTAGTCAACTCTTATTAGAGGTATCGAGCAAAACGCTGGCGCAAGCAGCGGCCAAAGATATGAGGATACTGTCCTTGCAAAGTGTCGGTTTTACGGTATGCAGAGGAATGCTTCTGATGGATTTGAATTGTGTTTCTGCCGGGGCTATACATTGGAGGTTCGTTGGAAAAACGTCAGAATTTCGGCCCGGAATTCTTTCACCAGGGAAAATAAAAATTTTAAATAATTCAACCAACTGATTCGCCATTCGAAATTTTCCCTGGAATGATTCTGTACGTGTTACAGAACGCTTTTGGGATCGACTCATTGCACGGAATAACTGAATTGCGGGATTGTTTTATAAAGGTTAACTTGTTTACCTAAGTTAAATATCGATGCGGATGGTCGCGTCGCTAGCAATTCGTGCTGCGGTAATGAAACCGTGAGGCGAGCGGATCCGCTCCCCTGCCTGATGGGGCTGTATCAGATTTCGCCAACTCAGAAATCGCCAAAATGACGCCAAACAGATTCGCAGGCCTAACGACAGGAATTCTAGGTGATACCAGTGTTGGAATAGATTACAACAATGTGGTGAAATACGCTACTCTACAACTGATTTGGACTAAGATTTGGTGGATTC